ATTTCAATGACAAGGTTGGAATGGACAACACCGGCTATGAAGACATCATAGGGCGACATGGACTGACTGGGAGAAAGGAACGAAAATGGTGAGAGATTTGCAAACCTATGTGCCTTCAATAAACTGGTCATAGACGGAACTATATTCCCATATAAGTGCATTCACAAAAGCACATGGACTTCACCAGACCACACCACGCAACACCAAATCGACCATATTTCCATCAACAAAAAGTTCAGGAGGACGATGGAAGACGTGAGAACCAAGAGAGGAGCTGATATAGCATCAGATCATCACTTGCTGGTCGCCAAGATGAAATTGAAACTCAAGAAGCACTGCACAACGGGGCGGACAATATCACAAAAGTTCAATCCGGCCTTTCTTCAGGATAATGACAAACTCAAGGAATTCAGGATAGTCCTCAGCAATATGTTCCAGATCTTTCATGATCTACTCAATGGAGAGGGAACTACTATGGAGAGCAACTGGAAAGGGATCAAGGAAGCAATCACTTCAACATGCCATGAGTTTCTGGGCCACAAGAAGCACCATCACAAGGAATGGATCACTCGATACACTGGATAAGATTCAAGAAAGGGGAAACAAGAAAGCAGTAATCAATACCAGCCGAACAAGAGCAGAAAAAGTCAAGGCGCAAGCTAAATACACAGAAGGAAACAAGCAAGTGAAGAGGAGCATTTAGTGGCCCGTGGATCTGACTCCTATTTAGATCGTGTGGATGTTTGCTATCGCCCATTCTCGTATATCATCGTCGACTTGAATCGCGTTAGTCAAAAACGGAATTAAATAAGTCGAATAACGAGAATTGACTTGTGAATACATATATTTTGTATATGAAGCGAATGAAACAGAGCAAAGCAAAATGACACGCAGGGAAGATGGCTGGGAAGCCAACTCCATTTTAGTCAAGCGTTACTCAATATTTATAGGCAGACAAAATAAAGCTACAGACATGTGATGAGTCATGGGATATGAAGTGCACACATATATACGCTCATATAAAAACATTCAAGACTGTTAAGCAAATAATTGACAAGGTCAAAATATGACTCAAGTAGAATGAATAGAATGAAATGTCCGAAAGCTAGAATAAGATATATGGGCTTAAAATAATGAAGGACACTACAAGCATCAGAACTGACAAACGTAAATACGTGGAAGATTTAGCAACGACGGCAGAAAAGGCTGCAAGAGAAGGAAACTTGAGACAACTGTATGACACGACAAAGAAACGCTCTGGAAATCACCGAAAACCAGAACAACCAGTCAAAAGCAAGGAAGGCAGGTAATCACCAACATTGAAGAACAACGAAACAGGTGGGCAGAATGCTTCAAAGAACTCTTGAATCGACCAACCCCACTGAACCCACCCAACATCGAAGCAGCACCCACGGACTTCCCAATCGATTTTGGCCCACCAACAATTGAAGAGATAAGCTTGGTCATCAGGCAAATCAAGAGTGGCAAAGCAGCAGGACCAGACAACATTCCAGCAGAGATACTGAAAGCAGATGTAGCAGTAACTGCAAGGATACTCCGCATTCTCTTCAATAAGATTTGGGATAAGGAACAAGTACCAACAGACTGAAAAGATGGACTTCTGACCAAAATACCAAAGAAAGGTGATCTCAGCAACTGTGATAACTACAGGGGCATCACTCTTCTCTCAATACCGGGAAAAGTCTTCAACAGGGTATTGTTAAACAGGACGAAGGACTGCGTAGACGTCCAACTTCGTGACCAACAGGCAGGATTCCGTAAGGATAGATCGTGTACAGACCAAATCGCAACTCTACGGATCATTGTGGACCAAACAATTGAATGGAATTCATCACTCTACATCAACTTCATTGACTATGAAAAAGCATTCGAGATCGTGGACAGAACAACACTACGGAAGCTTCTTCGACACTACGGCGTGCCTCAGAAGATAGTCAATATCATACAGAATTCATGCGATGGATTACACTGCAAAATCGTGCATGGAGGACAGTTAACAAAGTCGTTCGAAGTGAAGACCGGTGTCAGGCAAGGTTGCTTACTCTCACCCTTTCTCTTTCTCCTGGTGATCGACTGGATCATGAAGACGTCAACATCTGAAGGGAAACGCGGGATATAATGGACATCTAGAATGCAGTTGGACGATCTAGACTTCGCAGATGATCTGGCCCTTTTATCTCAAACGCAACAACAAATGCAGAAGACAACCAGTGTAGCAGCAGCCTCAACAGCAGTAGGTCTCAATACACACAAAGGGAAAAGTAGAATTCTCCAATGCGACACAACATGCAACAATCCAATCACAATTGACGGAGAAGATTTGGAAGATGTAGAAATCTTTACATATTTGGGCAGTATCATTGATGAACAGGGTGGATCTGATGCACATGTGAAGGCACGAATCGGAAAAGCAAGAGCAGTATATTTACAAGTGAAGGATATCTGGAACTCAAAACAACTGTCAACCAACACCAAGGTCAGGATTTTCAATACAAATGTCAAGACAGTCCTACTGTATGGGGCGGAAACCTGGAGAACTACGAAAGCCATCATCCAGAAGATACAAGTGTTTATTAACAGTTATCTACGCAAAATACTTCAGATCCGTTGGCCGGACACTATTACCAACAACCTACTGTGGGAGAGAACAGACCAGATTCCAGCGGAGGTAGAAATTAGGAAGAAGCGCTGGAAGTGAATAGGACACACATTGAGGAAAGCACCCAACTGCGTCACAAAGCAAGCCCTCACATATAATCCTGAAGGCTAAAGGAAAATAGGAAGATCAAAGAACACATTACATCGGAAAATGGAGATAGACATGAGAAAAATGAACAAGAATTGGATGGAACTAGAAAAGAAGGCCCAGGACAGAGTGGGTCGGAGAATTCTGGTCTGCGGCCTATGCTCCATTAGGAGTAACAGGCGTAAGTAAGTAACAGTTTTGAAGTCCCCATATATATTTTGGTTATCTTCAAGAAAATTAATTTACCTGTTACAAACAGCCATCAAAAAGAAATGACTTTTGGCTATTTTGACTTCAAATGGAGCCCAAACATATGGCCAGATATTGAGTTATTTTCCATCGATAGGTTTAGTAGCAAACTAATGCAACTCGATAAGCTAAGTGGGGATTGTCTCACAGATCTTTAAATACACGTTCTAATTATCAGCCAGTTCAAATTAAAGGCTCAATGAATCGAATACTGGTTAGAACGGCCTGCTAGTTTCCAATTTAATTCAGTCATTGAGAGTTGTACTAAGATGTCCTGCAATTCGGAAATATGAACGCCCCTCCCCATTTCATAGAACAGTCTGGTCTGTCATTCTAACTTATGGTGGGTAGAAACGACTTCAAATATGAGATTCATAAAACGTCTCTGTTATGACGGGTGTGACTGCAGGTTTTGATAAGTAGCGTTTGTTGATCGATTCGGTGACACGTAAACACGAACGAACGGCCTACAGTTCCGATTGGTCCTGCTTCCCTGTCTAGCCCAGCCAATTGAGTCCAGAACACAAGTCACAGCCTCGGAGATATGAATCACTATATTTCAAACATACTTTGTTTATATACCAGTCAAGCATACCACAGCGTACCATAAAAATAGAAACAACATTTTGTACAAGTGAACAGATATCGACCAATAGGAAATTCCATTTAAAGTCCAAGGACACCATTGGACTTAACATGATAATTATTGGTTTATTCCTGCGCATCCACAACACCTCCCCTTTTTTTTGAAGATCCGGAGTTGATATCCGGATTTTGAAATTTTCTGGGTTCATCCTCCCCCACGAAATAACGTTGGGTCCTCATATACCCAAGCAACAGTTAGTCTGATTCGAATTAAAGCATATTTCGCGCATTGAGTAGAGGGTTCACTGACTAGATGATGAGGATTAGCGACACCAGACATGAGGTCATTATGGTTTGATTCTTGTGCAACATATTCTTCAGACCTCTTCAAAATTCTATCACTGGATAATAGGTCACTAAAACAAACAGCATCTTTGAAATTCGTATTAGATTTCTGACCATTATTTGATGCACGGGAAACATTTTCTGACACGAGAGGTTCTTCTTGTAAGCTGGATACCTCACATCTTTCAGGCACAGTGGGATTTGAACCCACAACAGGGAATGTTTCTGAATTTGACATTTCTGAACAACTGGGCGGATCATGAATGATTGTCTCGTTTACATCACTGGTCGTCCGGGATTCACAGAGGCTTTTATAGGCAGCTTCATATGTTCTGCAGTTGTTTTCCAGCTCAGTCTGCAGATGAGAAATGAAATTACCAACTTCTGTTGCATTTCCGAAACATGGAAAATTTACCAACAGTGTGCGTAAATTTTCTAAAAAATTCAACTGGCTATTTTTGAAGCACTGCTGTTGTTGCTCAAGTAGAAGCTGTAATTGATCGGAACAGGTAGTCATTTTTTTTTCAGTACCAGCAATGAAAATTAACTGTAGGAATAATGACCAATGTTGCTCAAGGACGCTGGTGACAATCTGGATGCTGATTGGTCGAAACAATTAGCCTGAATCGCGTCCAATTACAAGGCTCAAAATTTTTCTCCACCCCGTCGCCAATTGTTATGACTGTGAAAAATTATTTGCTGCGCATTAAGGGGGGCGAATTATTGATCGGACCAAAAACGCACAGACACGTAGAACGACCTGGGGTTCTGATTGATCCTGCTTCCCTGTCTAGCCCAGTTAGTTAAGTCCAGAAGACAAGCCACAGCCTCTGAGATATGAATCATTATATTTCAAACATACTTTGTTTATATACCAGTCAAGCATACCACAGCGTACCATAAAAATAGAAACAACATTTTGTACAAGTGAACAGATATCGACCAATAGGAAATTCCATTTAAAGTCCAAGGACACCATTGGACTTAACATGATAATTATTGGTTTATTCCTGCGCATCCACAACAGTCTCATCAAATACTTTACATATTAAACCAAAATTATCGGGCTGATCGATAATTTGAGGAAAATGATATCTTACAATTAACTGTATATTATTGATACTTCTATCATCCATGTATTTGATTTTTAATAATCATGTAGCTGCTCCCGACTCTAGAGCATCCAGAAAGGATAATTTAGGTAAAATAACAAAATAAAACATCAAATCCCTAGAGCAGAAAAAATATCAACAACTATTCTTGTGCCATGTTACCGAACAACTGAAGAAACGATGGGAGCATTGTTTAAGGGGCGACGAGAAGAAACTAAAGGCCAGGAAGAAATATCTGGAAAGTATAAATTACAAACCAGAAACATTCGATATTACGACATATATAAATCTAAGCTGAATGATGAAATTATGAGTTTCACATGGTTTTACCACAAACCTTGGTAATTTGCTTCATTTTTTTAGTCTTACCTGCAGGATTGTACATAATTTGTAATAGTATTTGCCTCTCAAAGTATTTACTAGTTGTACCAGTTTCACAATGTTTTGCGTTTCAACAACAATAATCTCGAATTCATTTGGACACTTCCCAACCAATTATTTCTTATGTATGTGCAGTCAGTTGCATTCACTAATGAACAATTTTAAATAAAGAATTCAGAAAGTAACCATTCTTTCTGTCAAACGCATTAAATACACTGTTGCCATACCATACCCTTTATTACACAACACTCAATGTAACATCCTGTTTCAGTAAACTACATATGGTGTGTTTGCCTAATTATACACGTTTATTCACAAACATTCTATTAGTTACAGCAGAACGAATATTATTTCTAATAATAGAGAAAAACTAAAGTGAAACACATCAGTTTAAAGCTTCTAAGCTCATAAAACAGTTTGTGGTAGTAATAATAATTGTTGTCTGCGGATATGCCTAACTGGCTTGTCATTGGTATTGAGACCTCAACTCCGACGACGCATAGTGAGAAAACAAAGACTGGAGACATGAATTTGACTCAAGAAAAAAAAATCAAAATCAGGTATGAATAAACTACATTAACAGTCAGATTTCTATTAATTGAACTGAATAGTATTTTACATTAATTGGTCAATAACTTACTGAGTTAACACATTTACATCATGCAATTAAGCATCTGTAACGTCAAAAATATAGCCAATTGAAAAAATCATATAATTACTCCTCAAAATGATATTACGTGTCATGGACGATCAGTTCCACATGTTAGTCTCACTTCAATCGATTAAGTCATCCCCTGATAACAATACCAACAATAATAAAACTATTGTCACCCATAGTATTGTAGTTCGCTGACACCTTGACTAATTGATTACACAGTTGTAATCAGAGTTATATTGCCCAGCCTGATATTGTCTGGTATAAATATTCGTTTATAGATGGTAATTTCGTTTGAATATACTATAAAACCTCATTGTGTATGGTAAAATGCTAACATAACAAATGCTAACCATATTAAGGTTTATCAAAGATTTTTCTACTAATTTAACCAGATTGAAAACTAAACCATGAGAGACTAGTCTTCTATTTGATGTTTGACATTTCCTAGGTATTAATTATTCACTAAGAATGTTTCATCAGTAAAACTAACTGCTGAATATCTCTTCAAATGTTTATCCCCACATATACTATAAATCATAGAAAGAGTCAACTAGGTGAACTTGAACAAGCCCACCGTGACCATCAAATATTTCGTAACCTAATGGTAAAGTGAAAAAGAATTCTCTTCAAATAAGCCGTCAAAGTATCACGCATTAGTAGTTATTGATTGTAGGCGTCATCGCATGATCCGCAACTCCAGAATTAACCATCAACTCAACAGTCAATTGACAATAATTCTGAACTACAATGCACGATGTCATTCATTGGATTGCCTCACTAAATTAATAGGTAAATTTGATTCGCACAACATATTTCTTCACTAACGTCAGTTTACTGATTTACTCAGGATAGGAAATAAAGTAGTCGAACCTGTCGAAAACTTCACTTATCATGGAAGTCTGATCAACCCTAATGGATTGGTGCTTGATGAAATCTCTGCACGGATTCGAAAAGCTCGTTTGACTTTTGCCAACTCACCTCACCTATGGCAAAAACGAGATATCCATCTATTAATAAAAGGACGAGTATACTGTGCGGCAGTTCGTTCTGTTTTACTTTACGGCTACGAAACGTAGCCATTAAGAGTAGACGATCCTCGTAGGTTACTAGTATTTAACTACAGACGCCTTATAAATATTGCTCGCCTCTGCTAGGATCACCGGGTAAGTAATAGTGAGGTTGCCCGCAAATGCCCTGGTATGGCCGAGAGTGAGGTGGGCCCGCCCTCCCTCTCGAAATGCTCTCACACGGCCACACGTATATAGCCTCTGCCAGGGAAGTCCTACTCACTGCCTTCTCGTGGCGGGGTTGTTGTTTATGAAAATGAGGACGAAAAGCGAATGTCCGGCGCTTTAGCCGGATTCCAAACCAATGGTTCACATGGGCTCCAGTATCCCGAGGAAACAAATGGCGTATGAACCATTCGTTGGTCACTAGCTACCTTGGGACAGCATTTCCTCACAATGCTCCACTGCCTTGTGAATCAGACCTTTAGGTGAAAGGCTCGTGGTGTAGCCCCCTAAGAAAACCACCTGCTTCGGTCTGGGCACCCAGGTAGTATCACAACCCACACACAAATGATGAACTGTCTATACTTATGGACACTACTTTTCTTGCTTCGAAAAACAATCAAATGATTCAAATTATTATTATTAATTTTATTATTTACTACGTCATTATTCACCCTCTTTTATTCCTACTCTGTCTACACTTATTTTTTCGACTTATACAGCAGCTCGTCTATGGTGGAAATTCGACTGTATCTAAACGTTCTCGAGTCACTAGCTGGTTGAACATTGTATGCTACCACAAAAAACGAATACTGAAGCAGTTTTTATGAAACCACGTGCACCATTCAAACTGGCTGCGTTCAACGTTCGCACACTTATGCCGGTCGGACAACAGATAGGACTGGCTATGTTTTGGAAAGTTTTAATATCGATGTCTGCTGTCTATCCGAGACCCGTGTTCAAGACTCTGGTGAAGTACTACAAATTCGCTCTCCGTTTGTCGCTTCGAAAAGCTTATTTTACGTGCGTCTATCCGGAGACCCTGTGGCATCTTCGTCTGGTCTTGCTGGCGTTGGTGTCGCACTAAGCACTAGAGCTGAGGCAGCACTAATAAATTGGATTACCATTAACAGTCTGTTATGTGCTGTTAGATTAGAAAGTTCCATCAAAGTGAGAAGAAATCGACGTGAGAAACGATGTCTTTTCGTCAACGCCTATGCTCCGACAGATTGCAGCCGGGATGCAATCAAGGATGAGTTTTACCACCAGTTATCTGTTCTTCTCCAGAAAGTGCGTTCGACAGATATTGTAGTACTAGCCGGAGACTTGAATGCTCAGGTCGGGTGTCTAGGCACAGAAGAGAGTCGTTTAGGTGGCCGATGGGGACTTGTTGGTCGCAGGACAGATAACGGGGACCGTCTACTGCAACTGCGCACAGAGCACTTGTTTCTGGCTAGCACTAACTTCCGGCACAGTTATCGCCGATGAACCACCTGGCATCCTCCCTCTGCATCTCAAGCCTGGACTCAGATTGATCGCGATCAGCTACCGCTGGTATGGTTGTGTACAAGACTACCGCTCCTTTTGGAGTACCTATCTGGACTCTGATCATGCGCTGGTCTGCGCCAATTTAACCTTACTTTTCAGTGGCCAATGTGAGGGCATACAACCACCTCTCTCCATTGTTCTATTCGAGCAGTGTGGTTAGACAGGGTTGCCCAATCTCACCATTCCTCTTCAACTTTGCCATCGACGACATTCTGGAAACAGCTCTGATGGATGTAAGTAATGGTGGTGTGGATCTGCTGCCTGAAGAAAGAATTCTCGACCTTGAGTATGCGGATGATATTGTCTTACTGTGCGATAATGCCCAAGACATGCAATCCGCACTTAATCGGTTGGCAATCAGTGTCCGTAGGTATGGTATGTGCTTTGCACCTTCGAAGTGCAAAGTACTTCTACAAGACTGGCAGGATTCTAATCCTGTACTCACCCTGGATGGTGAGCAGATAGTAGTCGAGAAGTTCGTGTATCTGGGTAGCTGCATAAGTGCTAGTGGGGGATGTGAGTGATGAGATCAATGCACGTCTAGTGAAAGCCAGAGCAGCTTATGCCAATCTGAGCCATATTTGGCGCCTTCGTGATGTAAGTCTGGCTGTAAAAGGTCGGATCTACAACGTGTCAGTGAGAACAGTTCTGCTCTATACTTGTGAAACCTGGCCTCTCCTAGTTGAAGATGTTAGACGACTCTCTGTGTTCGATCATCGCTGTCTCCGAAGGATTGCTGACATCCAGTGGCAACACCATGTTAGTAATGCAGAGGTTTGACATCGTGTGTTCGGGCACAGAGACGATAATTCAATTGGTGTCACCATCTTGAAGAATCGACTTCGGTGGCTTAGACATGTTCTACGAAAGTCGTCCCAGAGAATTCCACGTCGTGCATTATTTGCCGACTCTGGGACTGGTTGGACAAAGCGGAGAGGTGGTCATTGTATGACATGGTGTCGTGGTATGAAAGAAAGTTGCAAAGGGCTGGCTTGTGTTGGTCCTTCACGAACCCTGGTTGGGGTCCTAGAGATGGTGCAACACAGTGGTTAGAGAGGTTATCAGATATGGCTCAGAATAGAAGCCAGTGGCGATCCTGCTGTAACCTTCTTTTACTTTTTTCATAAAAAAATGGTCGTTTCTTCCCGAACTGAAAGGTTTCTTCCGATTGTACCTCTCCGTTTCCTCCATTATTATTATTATTATTACTATCATCACTATCACTATTATTATTATTACTATTACACTACCTTACACTAATCTGTTCGTTATTGTACTTTTTTTCTCCTCGAATTCTCATTGTTTTGTGTGGCGCGTATGTATTTGGTGCCCTCTTGTACCAATATTCATGTGTCCAAATAAATAAATAATAGTGACGTTATACGCAAGGTATTAGGGAATGATGATAAATCAGTCGATAAGGTTGTAAATCTTCATCGACTGAGATGGTTGGGCCACGTGTTGCTTATGCCTGAACACTGATTACTACGACGCACAATGCTGACTAATGCTGGAGACGGTTGGAAGAAAGTTAGGTGTGGCCAAAACAAAACGTTGCATCAGTCCTTGAAGTCACTAACTTCTGGTCTGAACCATGTTGGCAGATACAAGCTATTTGGTTGGGGTCTGCGCGACTATCATAACCAATGATTTGAGACTTTGGGTGACATGGCTCAAAATCGATCACAATGGTGTCGGTGAGATTAAAATTACTTTATACCTCTCTTTCTACGAAATAATTCTTTCTTCCTGTATTATATCCTTGTATGGAATCTTTATGGATATATATTACTAACACGAAAAAGACGACGCCTAAGTGTTACGGAAAAAGCAACATGAAATTCTGTTGAATGTGTACGAAAGAAATCAGATAGTTCAGATCGTACTCACAT